GGCTACCCCAGACGCGACGCCTCCTTCCGGGAAGTGCCAGCCAAGCACCAACTGGCTGACTTGGGTGTGTGCCCGACTCTGAAACCCAGGAGGCTGCAAGGTGGCTCCCAGCGGCCGGATCCCGTGTCCTGCTGGACCCGGAGGACCGTGTCAGCCAGGACCTGGCCTCCGAGGTCCTGGACGGAGGGGGCCTGCTGGGTCGTAGCTGGCAGGCATGGTGCGCCCGCAGCCGGCGCCAGGGCCCACCGGACACCCCACTGCACCCCAGGTCTGCAGTCTCCTCGGAGGAGCGGGCTGAGTCCTGCCACCGGGAGCTCGCCACTTGGGCACCGTGGCACCGTCAGGCCCCTCAGCTTAGCGTGTCCCGTCCGTGGCACGTGGGGCAGCGAGGCCTCTGCTTGGAGTTTGCGGTGCCCCCCAGCCCGAGGTGGCGGCCGTCTGTCCCTGAGGCAGAGACGCCCCCTCGGGGCAGCCCCCCAGAGACCCCCGAGGGTGACTTTCTGGGGCGGGGTGCCCCTGGCGAGTCCCGAGGGTGCTGCTTGAGGCCCTCTTGGGGTGGCCCCGGGCAGAGATTTCGCTGGCCCAGATGTCCTCACCGCTGCATCTTGAAGTGCCACGTCTCGGGGCCCGTCCGGCCCTCCCGTGGGGGTCCTGACCCCCTTCCTCTGCCCTTTCCTCAGCCTGATGTGCACCCCGTGCCTGGGCCCGTGCCCCAAAGTCTGCCACATCCTGGAGGGCGAGAAGACCATCGACTCGGTGACCTCCGCCCAGGAGCTGCGCGGCTGCACCGTCATCAACGGGAGCCTGGTCATCAACATCCGGGGGGGCAGTGAGTACCGGGGTTGCGGCCACTCGCCTCTGCGAGGGAGGAGCCCAGACGCCAGGCACACCCTCCCCAGCCGGGGGCGCTCCCCAAAGACTTTGCTTCCAAACCCGGTTCACAGCCCGGCTCTGACCCCGCCCCCCTCGGCTCCTCATTTTCCGAGGTGGGAGCTGGGGTGTCACGAGTTTTAGTTTTGGGGGGCAGGGCCCGTGCCCTCCTGCCGGCCTGGGGGCTCTGTTTCCAAGAGACGGTGCCGGGCACCCCTTTGCGTGGGCTCCCCGCGCCTGTCACCGGTACTCGGCGGATGAGGCAGCCCAGGCCCGGCCCGACACAGCCGGGGGCCAGGTGAACCCCACGCGGCGAAGGGGGCGGAGC